CTGCGAGTTTTATGGCGCACTACGACTCAAAATTCATTTCGTATGGCAGAAGTATTCCACTGAAATAAACAAGATAGAATGAAGCTGACGCCATCCGTTTCGAAATAACACATGAACAAGAAGAAAACGGCACAAGTTTAAACTCATGATACAAAGCCCACGCATTTTTTTGAGGTAAATGAACTGGTTAGACCGAAAGATAAATAAATAAACAATGAACTGACATTGGTGAGGGATTTGGGGGCCATGTGATCCAGTGATAAACAAGTTCTACCGAAGTTTATCCTCTAGTTAGCATTTCAAGCCCAAAAGGGCAATTAGAAAAATTCTAACCAAAACACAGCAACAAAATAAGATAAAACGGAGATAATCGAGGCAAGACTATAAATGTTGTTAAGACACATGCCTACATACCAAGTACAACAGACTTGGAGAGCAAAAAGGGAGTTACTGGGTCACGGGCGAAGAGTGGGGGATGAAGAAAAGACCGAGGTACGAGTGGTCAGCGGGAAAACAAATTTAATACTTCATATAGAGACATATCAGTTATGGTTGCGGAAAACAATAGTGTTGTAAAGCCGAAATATCAACAGTATACTTCGCTAAATAAAATGTTAAGCAATTTTTCAAAAGTGTTGATGGCACATATATCTTTTACTGCTGTAATAAACAATAGAGGCATCGGAAAAAGCATTGGTGGCATCCGGAAAGGCACTAAGAAGAATTATATTTACGTTTTGTAACTTGCTGCGTGACGAAAAACGAAAACCAGAACCGTGGTCCCCAAATGAATTCTCCCACCTTGCCCTAAAAAATTTTCAAGTTTTCCGCAACTTCCCCTTTTCCTATTCGTAGGTCCGGCCAAGCCTTTATGGTCATTGGCTCCCGTATAGCCACTAACTATGGCTTATAAATACAGGTGTTTAGTGTTAAATTGTAAAACTCCCCGAAGAAGTCTACGACAGTTAAACGAAACGCGTCGAAGAATAAAGAAATTTTTACAGCAACCGTTCGTAGAGTGCTGCTCACCAGTTTAGTTTGAAATGTATTTTTTTTAAATTTGGGTGCGATAGCTGTGGTCAGTTTTTCCATGCAGGTTGTCTGGATGTACCTTTCGCAAAGACGTGGGGGAACAGACACCAACACAACATTTCACCTGCCATTCGCTTCGAAAATTAAGTTTTCATCCCGAGTTCATTTGTTAAATAAAATAACCCCTTTGCTACGAGCGAAATCATTGAGATCGCAACTTCGAACTGAAACTGTCATCGCTTGATGAAACTCCGTTGTAAAATAGTTTTCTTCAGGGGAGAAAAAGCAGAATTAAAATGCACTCGAAACCGTTGACTTCGATTTTGAATTTGTTAAGTTAAGATTTCAAGCCACCACAAGGTCTTATAACCTCTGCTGACCCGGAAATCGGTTACATGCCAAGGTCACGTTAGCAAACTGTCACGAAATACTCAATAGCTTCTGTTTTCGGCCTTTGTTTCGGTAAAAAAATATATAAACTTTTCACAGAACAGACCTTCTTGCTTTATTTGATTTATATATTTGTATTGGTCTGGACACATGCATATGCTGACTGGCTGTGAAAGACATTCATCACAGTTTTTGATTCAGAGTGGTATAATATTTCCCAAAATATTTTAAACACAAATGTTTCCTTAATAAGTTCGTTATTCCCGAATTTCCCACTTTGCAACAATCCCTACAGCAAAACAAAAAGCATAAAAGTCAACTTTATAGCTTGCTTTAGTTTTGTTTTGGATTTTTTTTTTATGATTTTTCCTCTGAAACCAGGAAACCCTAGCCAGGTAACTAGAAATTCTCAGTTTCATTTAGAGCTTGTCCACAACACAACTTCAAACATGCGTGTGCTTATCGCATCCTTGAAAACGTTCCAGACCTCTTCAAAATTGTTGAAAAGCCTATTGAGGATAATAATAATCTTTGAGTTAACTATGACCAATTCACGCCACGAGCGCGAGAAAAAGAGAACCACTCCGCAGGGCTGAATACGCGATGTGGAGTGTTAAAAAATTCCACATTCTCGCGCGTAACGCTTTCTCTAGAGACCTCTAGAAGTGCGGTTTAGCGAAGATAAACATAGTTATCTTTGGTTAACTCAGAGAACTTGTAGAAATACCTCCAGCCTGCATAACAGGCTGGAGGTATTTCTCCATTCCTCGTCTCGCGCTTCGCACTCGTTTCGTGCTTCGAGCAAATGCCGTGTTCGCCTTGCTTGGCTCATAAAGTGGCTGTTATGCAGGCTAAAATACCTCTTCACATTTATAAGATAAGGTGTCATTGATTTGTTAGAGCGGGAAGAGACATTTCTAACGCGCAAATAGTCACGAGCTGAAAGGTAACTGACTGATTTGTAACAAGGACTCACCCTGACAAACAAGAAATTATCTCACTTTCCGAAAAGGAACGCTCTTTTAAACATAAACAAACTTCAAAAATAAGTAAAAGAAGCAAAACAATGAACAAAATATATTTTCTCTTGACTTAGTTATTCCGGCGAGAACAAATGGTGAATGATTCACTCCTGGAAGCAAGCCTCTGAGGAGAAGTGAGAACACCGTTTAGGCAAAACTCTACACTTTGTGTACTTTACTAGCCTGTTCACAGACTCTCTTCATGTTAAAAAAAAAGTGCGTTCCGCCCTCTCTCGCGAGCAATCGCTTACCTTGTGCGCGCACCAAATTCCCAAAACAGAAAAACGTCTGTGAGCAGGGTAGTACTTTCTGTTTCTACATATTTTGCCCACGGAGCTGGCAAGTACAATTGTTGACGGCTTTTTTCAGCAGGTCAACGTAGAGCGCTTTGCGGCGAACAGGCTTGGGAGGTACTTCTAATTCTAGTTGCTGACAAATGTTTTGAAGCATTCTAAGTTTAAGTCGCTCCAGAGATCCTCCCTTGGCCATGGCACAGATATCGTACTGATCGTAAGTGATGGGGTGCTGTAGCGTGATGGATAGGATTGTTGCTCTCGCCATGGTAAAGTTTTCCTCTTCTACTACAGCTTGGATTTCAGCATCGTCGGATGTTTGCCGTCGGACCTTCGCTGCAAGGCGTGAGAAATATGAAGTGCACTGCTGCGGGGTAAGAAACTCGGATACTTTGAACAAGCGAACACCATCAGGTCCTTGTGCACGTCTCATTTCACGAGATACGATATCACTGTCCAGTTTTCTGCCGCTGGTTTGACCAATTGTAAACTTCGCATTTAGATAATCCCTCTGGTTTTGGTTAAAGCGATATGCTATTTTGCTCGGCTTTAGCGCCCATCCTTCTTTTACATCTATTTCGCCGGATGTAGCCTCTCTTGTATCCCTAAAAGACGCAAACAAAATAACTTGACTGGTCGTGCCCTCCTCCAACCTGGACTTGTAGCCTAGTTTGGAAAGTTCTAACAAAGGCCGTTTCTCTGGAGACTTGGTGCATTTCTCTAAAGATAGGTGTTTTTCGAGAGAAGACAGTCTCTGAAGACCTTAACACACCCATCCTGAGGGCAGGTAAACACGGATGAAGATTCATTTGTATGGTCAGTGGGATCATGAACCTGCTCCACTTCCGTCTCTTGCTTCTTCCTTGCCTGAGTCGGTTTTGGGCTAAGGGGTCTAAAGTCTCCAGAAGAAAACTCAGATGAAAGCCAACCAATGCCATGCTCTGAAGTAGATAACACATAAAGAAACAAGATTTACATAAACAGCACTGTTCACCTACTTCAATACTTCACTCTGCACAGCCTGTGAAGAGTGCCCCTTTGGTCCACTTTACTGCGCGAACAAATGAAACGTTTGCTTTTTACATCTTATGACGACATGTCCTTCAGAACCGCCATATTCTGCAATGTTCGTTTTAAAAATTTTGTAGAACAAATCAAAGGCCATAAATTTATAAGGGGCTAAGGGGCTTAAGTCTTTTACAAAGCAAAACCCCACGGGGAGGCAGACACCCGCTCCTCCTACGTACCAGGGTGGGAAATGGATGCTTTTCATGCGTCTGAAGGCTATAACAAACAATAAACGTACACCCTTTTACTCAAACTATAAAAAATATATATTTGCGCGATGACATAATTCTAAAAAAGGATGAAATTGTGAATTTTCACTACACTAACCTTCTGATGTTGTTTACAATGGGATCTCTTTTCCCTTTCCCATACCATAAGCGCGCCAAGCTACGAGAATTTCGTCTTTAAACTCGAAACTGTTTAATTTGTTGATACCAATAATCTTTCTGTTGTCATCTACTATTGCTTCCTCCTCAACACTTTGCATGACAGCAACTCAAACTCCTTCTATCACCCCATGCGAAAGAAGAGCACTCTTCAGTTGTTCGGCATTGGTCACGTCATTTCCTTCGTTTATGAAAGTCCTGACGTGATTCTTGCAGGTTGCAGCGAGCCTGTCTGCGGCACCTTTTCCACCCTGTGGGTCAGAAAATTCAATGCGCTTGATTTCGATGCCGGTGGAGGAGGATATCACTGGGCATGAGAGTACGGTGGACGACGAATGATAACATCCTGCGTTATCTTGGCGAAAGAATGTCTTGTTAATCTCACTGTGCTCCAGCTTGATGGTATTCAGGACATCCTGCATGATTTTAACCACTGCAGCACTGCCTTGATTGCACGACTCTACTATGTACAGAAAGCCCTGCCACTGGAGTACCCCGCTCACACGACAGTGGACGACAGAAACGTGCCAGGAGATGCCTCGCTTACCAAACCAGTCGGTTTGGGACTCTCTGTATTTTTCTGGCAGGAACTTCATGGCCCAGTCGTTAATTATCAAGACAGTGTTGTCGTCAAGTTTCTCCAGTGCATCTATTCTCGCTTGGTCTTGGTTAGCTGATCTAAGGATGTGGCATTTCCAGGACATTATGGCCAGCTGGGCTGTCTGGAATATAAATAGCGCTTCGTCTTTCGTGTCCTGAGTCGGAAAGGTCGTCTCGCCAAGGACCCGTTCAATCTTTGCCGAAGTTTCCTAAAGACCTTGACAACGGTCACAAAGATCAGTGTGTTGGTGACTGTATTGTTGCTGGTAATCTGCATCACCACTGTTGCTAAGAGCAAACAACACACAATGGTCTGCTACGTTAGAGGGGCTAGTGACATGAACCTGTTGACAAAAAAAAGTTGAGATTACTGTTTAACTGTGCTTATACTTCAATATAATAGTCAATCAAATTATTTTTTAATCTAACAAATATTATTAACGTAAGGGGGCGAATAACTTTTAACCTTAACCCTTAGAAAAGACCACTATCCTCGTGTGCGCATTGTTAATCTCGAGAATTTCTGTAAGCTAGTTACACGTGCACCATTTAGAGAAGAAAAAGAGTACAAAAAATATTTTTTTTACGGAATGATTTTGTTGATGAGGTAAAATAAGTACTTATTTTTAGTTTTATTCAAGCTGTCTTTCTGGAAGCAGAATTCACATTACCTTATAGCCCCCCTTCAAATACTGCTTGCTTGTCATAAGAGCTTGCACAACTGTAGTCTCCCTCTCCTTGCCGGAACCTAATTCCCCTATTCGGCGTACGAGGGCCACGAGATCATCAAATGGGCGAGCACCTTCAGCTGCAAAATAATCTAAGCCCTGCAGTGATTTTTTTTTTTTGATTTTTACAGAGGCACCGCATTCAGAGAGTACCCGTCTCATAGTAGTTTCGCTGAATGGTTTGAAGTTGGTCTCCAAACAGTACTGAGTGTACTGTTGTATCACTCGCTCGGGTATCATCATACGGATTACGTTAGGTACTTGAATAACCTCACCAGACGTAAGCTTGAAATGTTTTTGCCCAAATGGAAGGTCCTGAACAAGGTGCGGGCTCGTGATGAAACCAAGAAAGTGGTCAGGCTGCCTCAAGTCTACTCGTATTCGTGTGGTAGGCTGTTGTGGAACTTGAGCGCCTCGGCCAAACTGTGATCGATGAAGATTAGCCATGGAGTATCGGTATCTCGTCAACCCCGGGATATAACGGGAAATGTCGTTGAAAGTTCCAACCCCTGCCATAATCGAAAGCACTTGTCTACGGGTATCCCAGCTGGTTGCATTCTGGTACGCTTCTGCTAGGGCCTCTAAATACAAATGCTCTGAATGTGACAACTCGCTTACACCTAGGGCTTTGTTCATAGCTGTAGAAGAGGCTAAAAGTCGCCAGAGTTCACCAGCATTATCAGGGGTGACGCTCTTTAGCACATTTGCTACTATTTCTGTTGCTCTCCTTGTCTGACGTTGTCTTGTTCGCTCAGAGGAATCACTCCAAGAAAGCTATGGCTTTCCAAGCGGTTCAAGCTACCAGGAACTCACTCAGCTTTTCGCGCGGCTCAGGTAAGATCACAGGTGTGGGCTCGTCACTCTGAGTGGAAGCTGTGCTTATTGTGTCTGGTGACAGAAAAGTGTCATCAGCGATTGTAAGACGTCCAAGGCTTTCTGCGAACTCTTCAACAGATTGACCGGTATCACTTTGTCCTGGAGATGAGTTTGAGCTGCTCTGTAACATACAAAAAAGACGTTTAGACATCAATGTTACTTCAATATTCTTGTTTATTTTGTCACTAGGCATTAGTTTTTTAGTATAGTTCGAAACTTAAGTTATACATCATTTTAAAAAAGAAAATATGAATTTACGTGCATACCGCTATCATTATCAATACTTCCGCTCCGGCCAGACCGAAAGGAATTTAAAGAAACGAACAGTGACCTATTCGTCTTAAATCATTTTCAGAGTCATTTTCAAAGTTTACAGTTATTCACAGTTACCCAGCCCTTTCGGAATTTCGACATTTGTTATGTTGGAATAACTGTCTGTATCCGAGGTTACCGTTTACTTACTTACATTTGCTTCTGAAGTCTCTAGTTCTACGCATGGAGCAACTTCAATCATTGGTGCGGGTGTCACTTTCTGTTGTTGGTTTGTCACCGCGAAATGTTGCTTACATATTCTGCAAAGAGCTGTGGCAAAAATAAATGTTAACCTTGTTAAAAGGCCATCGCCGATTTCTTTACTATTCTTCAAAGCCAAGAGCAAGTCTACATACTAGCCAACTAGAATATCTTTATCTTTTCTTTTTTGGGGGGAGGGGAACAGGAGAATAAAAGGTATCGTAACGCTTGCGCATATGTTGCTTTACGCCCTCGCGCGTTTAAAATTAAAGCGTACACTTTAGCTACAAATGTGTTACGATAAACTTACGCGATCCAACTTGAATAAGTATTCCTTCAGTGTTTAAAATAAATGTACATAGAACGCTGATCCGATCGCCTTTGACCAAGGCTGTTTTGTGAGCAGCTATTTCTAGTGGAATGCTACACTTCACTTTTGAGGATCTCCTGCGTATACCAAATTCCGCTCTGTGGCGAGGGCATATTGTCAAAGACAAGTGGGAATCTTCCACTGCAAATACCCCTAAACAAAGGTAAAGGTAAAATTATCCATTGCATACATCACGAGCGAGTTGAGAGGCTCGTGCGCTATGAGATCTCGAGGTTGAGTTTTCATAGAAAAGTCTTTAAAGCCTGTGTATCAGTGACAGCTGTGTGTGTTGGTGTGTGCGTGGGTGGCGGAGCGGGGGGGGGGTTGGGGGTGCGGAATAAAGATCTTTTTTGCTATCGCAAGCGTTAATATTAGGTTTGCAAAATATTAACGCCGCGGATAAAAGCCTGCGATTTTTAAAGAAATGAACTCGTTTGCTTATTGTTCTTGCAAGCAGGATACAAAAGAGCGGTGGGGACAATAATTTTTTCAAATGGAAGGGGACATTTTGGTTCGACCGACCGAAATAACCTGACCGGTCAAAGTGGACCAGCTTCAAAGGCGTTCCCAAATATTCTGGTAGGACCGAACCGAAACGGTCCATTCCATTTGATTTCTAACCGAAACTTCCGGAATTTTGGGCTGAATGGAAAGCACCCGAAGATTTTCTAAGAATAACATGACCATAGTGAGGTCTGTGATAAAGAGATGATGGAAATGTACACCACTATTAGCCGTTATGTAAGACGGTAAGACAGTACATAAGATTTACCTGCTCTTGCTAACAGCAGTTTCCATTCAGTGTCAAGTGCTGTATCTGCTTTTAATCCATACAGCTCGCAGTGCCTCGATATGTCCCTTGCACAATTTCTTAAAGCGAGAACTTCAACTTGGCCTGGATAATCGCTGCTTAAACCACAGGGTGTAGCGTCGTGTAATAAAACAGAAAAACTACATGAGTGAAACGTTACCGAAGCCATGACAAAAAACAAAGCTCTCCCAACAAACGAGACAAACTCCTCTAACGCTTTTTCAGCATTTCGTAATACTAGACGGGAATAATTCAATTAAAAATAAAATCGTAGAGGCACGTGCAATAGTAAGTGGCGAGACAGTTCGTGACAATATATAAATTTTATTCCAGGAGCATTTGACCTGGAAATGTCACATTGATATTGTTCCTTGAGTCGAATATTTCTACATTGATGATCTATAAACAGACGTACGGTTGTACATTTTTTCATTGGGACAGCTGTAATTGCTTCTTTGTCTGTTTAAAATGTGTACGAAGTATAGTACGTATCGTCGTATGTGACAAGCTAGCTTGACCAATCTCTGCACGTTTGCTAAATTATGTGTCATATGATCTTGTTATCCCGTCTAGTATCTGATTTGTTCGCTCAATAAGAGTAATACTCACTTTGTTAACTGTGTGGTTTGAGCAGTGGTTAATTTTCATCATTGTATGTTATTTTCGGACCAAAACATAATCGGGTTTCATTATTACAGAAGCGTCTGATAATGAGTAATAAGCGCAGCGTGAGAAGTGTTTAGATAGCTGAAGCGCTGAAGTTGCTGGACACATTTTGGTCAAAATCAGTTATGGATGAGTTGCCACTTCACAGAACAAACAGATTGAGAGATGGATTTAACTTCTTTCACAACAAGCAATGGTAAGTTGTTCGTTCAATAAAACTTTGCGTTAAAAATATGAATTCATTCAGCGGGCCGTCTAATTTGCATAAAAATTATTTACTCAGATACTCAAATTGCTTACTTTAACTATATTGGATTTCCAGAGCTAAAACTTTCCAGTAATTTAGTTCAATAGCCAAGATTTTATTCTATATGGGTTTTGCCAGGAAGCAGCATATACCAGTGGCCTTTTACAACAGTTAAAATTCGCCTTCATTTATTAACATTTCCAGAGATACAAATTTGACGTTTTTAAACTTGTCGATTGTAAATGTTAAAAACTTATTTCTTCAAATTTTGTTAAAAACTTATTTCTTCAAATTTTCTTTTAGGGCTTTAAAGATTAAGAACGAAATAATACTCGGCTGAGGTTTCGATGTTAGGGATTGTTTCTTATGCGTTCACCGTTTTCTCGAAGTTGCAGTCGGATTCTGTTGTTTTTAAGCGCGAAAAAACAGCAGTAAATCGATTTTTCAAACGTTTTGTTATTTCTCCCGTGCAATGAATCGCTTGCACCCAAAACTGTTTTTTCTTGAATTAGGTCACTAAAAGGGATGTTTTGGCAAAAGAAAAAAATTCAATTTTTTTACGAGTTTCTTGTGATTTTCGATTTTCTCGGAAAATGGCTCTTAAAAGAAGTAAAGAAAAGAATGAAAGCTAACATTGAGGCACTGCTGAAGTCTGCTGACCAATTTGCAGAAGAGGCAGAGTCGAGTGGGAAAGTAACTCTCACTTCTAAGTCAAATGCAATGAGACGAAGCGCTAAAGAGAAAGAAGGAGAGTTGAAGTCCATCGAGGAGGCAATAGACAAGAAACTTGAAGCTCTAAAAAAACTAGTTCTAGTATCATGAAATAGTTATTTCACACACCAATGGAAAAAACCCAAGGACTTTGTTGAAAAAGTGTACTGTAAAAAATTGTTTTGAGAACTGAGGTACTTGCTTTATGGTAGAAATTTAGTATACTGCCATTGTTTGGTTGTGTCACTGTAAGTTAAGAACTAAACAGCTGAAACTGAATTTTTTTTAATTCATTGTTTTCATAATTAAGACAGTTATTTATTCTCGGGCCATGAAGAATCTCACTGTTACCTTGAGTCTGGAAAATAAAAAAAATGGTCTGGAAAAAGTCTTGAATTCTGTCCACAAAAAAGTGTACGAACCCTGTAGAGCTCGAGGCATTTCCTTTAGCCTTCTTACAAAACTTCAACCATGTTCCTCTCCTTTCCGCTTTCTAAAGTCTTCCAAGGATAATTGTCGAGATTTTGGCTTATCCACTTTTTCAATGAGCTCTTTACCACAAGAATAACAGAAGTTGGCGGCGCTGGAAAGAACCTCGGCAGCGCAATGGGTACAAAACATCTTAACTTGGTCCGGTCGTCACAGTATCGCCATTCCCGCCATTTTAGACATTGAATTGCCAGTGCCAGTCTCTCCCGATTCCTGCGCGCGCAGAGATTCTTAGTTTCTGTTTGCAGCAACTTTTACTTGTTTGCTAAGGATGGGCCGATACGGCTTTTTGGAATCGATACGATACCGAGTACGATATTTCCTTTTTTCTTCGATACCCATGTCGATACTGATACTGTGATGTCATTGAAATAAATATAAGTCACGTGATCTAATTGACTAAATTAAGGCACCCTCGCACGGTTTCCGGTTCAGTTCTCTATAGTAGCATCAAAAAGACAGCCAAACAAGTCAAAAATTTCAATTTATTGGGACACATTTTTAATTTTCTTGAGGAAATGAAGAAGACCGCAATGGTAGAATCTTTAAGCAATCTGCAGGTGCACAATGAAATGTTACCAGTTACTGCACGGGTGACTTTTAATGACCAAACACGGGTGCCCGACTTATTATGGATCTTGCGCTTTAATACTCGATACATCAGAGCCTCCCTGGTATACAGGACCATACAGAAGGGCCATATTTACTATTCGACGAGTAAACATAGGGACTTGATACATATTACTAGACCTCAAGTGAAAATCAATATCGTTAAAAAATAATATCGGGTAACTAACGTCTACTTTACTTTCAGTCAGCCAAGTTAAAAAAAAAGAGCTTGGATAGCAGCAGGTAAAGAAAAATTTCAGATACTTTTGTTTAAAAACAAGAACATGTTCACATTCTTTGGCTTCAGCCGATTACGCCTCATGGAGACTAGCTCCCCTGCTTTAGAGAACACCCTTTCGGCGGGAACAGATGTACCAGGGATGCAAAGATACTTCTTCGCAATTTTTGCGATAAGTTCATAGTATCGCTCATTCTCCTTCCACCACAGTAAGGGATCTTGGAGTCTTGCCAGCACTGGTTCTTCAAAATACTTTCTGGCTTCCAGTGTTGCATTGCTGGTTGAGGTTCTTTGTGATGTTAATTGCTTGACCACTGTGTCGAAGAGATCCCACAGCCCAGCTGCTTCAGTTGTATTACTGGGCTGCCTATCTTCATTGGAATCATTAGTCTGGATATGCCCTGACATCTCCTGAACAACCCACTGCTCTGCCTGTCTCACGGCTGCCGAGTCATTGAACGCCAATTTCTTCATTCGGGGATCCAGTAAGGTCGACATCGCCAGCATGCGAGCGCTTTCGATATTTGTGAAGCGGCGTCTCATCTGGTAACTAAGGTTGGAAATCAGGGGTGTGTCCTTTTCTGTAATCGCACCAGTCAAACGCTGTAGTGATTTCGCCAGAGGTGTCACCTTAGAAATGGAGACATGCTTGTCCGCAGACATCTCTTCGGTTGTTGCCTCAAAGGGTTTTAAAAACGGCCATGGCAGCTTTCAGCAGGCTCACATCAGAAGATGAAAGACACATTGCATTACGACCAGAGAGACAAAGTGCTGTGGTAATGGCTTGATGTTGCTCCGTGATGAGTTCAAACATGAAGTAAGTTGAGTTCCATCTGGTTTCCACTTCTTGGATGAATTTGTTCTCAGGAATTCCCAGCTGCAGTTCGTATCTCCTTCAGCTTTTCCGAGGCCTTAACGCTGTGGTGGAAAAAGCTCACAATGTCCCTGCAGCTCTTTCTAAGCTGATGGATCTTTGTGTCAGCCTTAATTGCCTCAGAAATCACTAGATTCAGGGTGTGTGCAAAGCAAGGGACATGTGTCCAACCAGTGTGTCTGACGGCGGCAACAACGTTGGCAGCATTGTAACCATCGCAACAACTTTTCGGGAAATTCCCCATTCTTCCGCAAGTTTTTGGAATGACGCCGCAATGTTCTCAGCCGTGTGGTCTTTTTTGAACCCAAACGTCTCTAGAACCAGGGACTTGAGTTCCCATGTGGAAGTAACAAAGTGGCAGGTGATGGTAAGATAACTTTCCGTTTTTCTTGATCAGGTAGGTTCAGCATACTTGATCAGGTGTGTCCAGCAACTTCATATCAGGTAGCAAACTTTTCATTATGTGTCTTCTGGAGGGCGGCTGGTACCGAGAATTAAGCCAACGCACCAGCGACTAAAATCCGGTGTCCTCTACAATGGTTGCTGGTTGCATGTCTATTGCAATCATTCTTATAAGGGCCTAATCAATGTTCTTGCTTCGCGCGCATGTCGGCGAATACTTTTGCCAAGTTTGTGCCGTCTCCGATATGGTACGCTGCCGCAGGTTGTCAGCGGTCTTACGCCTCTAGGATGCTTTTTCTTCCTCCTCTCTCCTCTGGTTTTCAGCTTCCTTGTGCTGAGCCGGGTGTTTTAATTTCAAATGCTATAAAAGAAAATATGAATAATCTTCAATTTATGATAAAATGTTAAAAAGCCCTTCAAACTTCAGTGGACAATACCTTTAATAGATTTGACGTGTTGTTTGCATGCTTCACAACATCAGAGCAGATAGTGCTTTGTGAGGTTCCCACAACTTCGGTAGACCTTGTAAAGAAAGGCCACACAGCACTCCTCAGGCGCTTTCCTGTATCAAAGTTTCCTAACGAAGAAGCGTTTGCCTCGAGGTCACTGTTAGCAAAAATTGCATTTCAGTTGTGAATCGCTTTCGGGATAGACTTGGTTGTCTACAACAACTACAACCATAGTATGTACTAAAATATATTGGAGACTTACGGCGCTTCCATTGGCACTTGAGAATTAGAAGTGACCTCTGAAATGTCTGACATACTTCCCAGAAACAGTTATGGACATGTAAGTCAAGCTTAGGAAACGGAAGCAAGATTAAGGGCGTATTTAAATCGCAACGCACTGACTTTGATCAGTTCACTCTTACAGCGCTCACATTGTCATTCGCTGTCGTTGCTGCGATTCGTAGAGTGCCAGCAAATTAACGTT